TTTGACTTGACTAAGTCTCACTATCTTGCCCAAAGCAGTTGTCCTAGTCTACAGTTCTAATAGCAGTAGGTGAGTTCTTTTGGCTCCAAATGCTCACCAACATTTTATACAGTCCTTTTTAATTTTTGCCCATCTGATGGCTGTAAAATAGTGTCTCATCATAGTTATACTACACATTTCATGAATGACTCTGGTAGAACATCATTTAATAAGTTCCTCATAAAGAGGTCAGGTTTCCTCTTCTGTGACCCGCCTGTTTAAATGTTCCACCCACTTTTCTGTCACATTGTTTTTTTTTTTTTTTGAGAAAGATTAGTCCTGAGCTAACATCTGCTGCCAATCTTCTTCTTTTTGCTGAGGAAGACTGGCCCTGAGCTAACATCCGTGCCCATCTTCCTCCACCTTATACGTGGGATGCCTGCCACGGCATGGCTTGCCAAGCGGTGCCATATCTGCACCCGGGATCGGAACCGGCGAACTCCAGGCCGCTGAAGCAGAACATGCAAACCTACCCGCTGCACCACTGGGCCGGCCCCCACATTGTATTTTTTATTCCTTTGAACAAACAGTTCTTTATAAATTCCAGACACACAGCTTTTATCAGTGATATGTGTTACAAATGTCTTCTCCCATTTGTGGCCCATCTTTTTACTTTCTTTCTGTTATCTTTTGATGTAGAGAAGCTTATGTCTTCAGGTAGTTGGATTATCAGTCTTTTTTGTAAGTGTTAGCATTTTTTGTACCTTGTTTAGGAAATCTGTCCTTACCCCCAAAGTCTTAAAGCTATTTTGCTGAATAGTCTTCAAGTTTTATCTTTTATGTTTAGGTCTTTCATTGACCTGGAATTTTTTTTAATACTGTGAAGTAGAGGTCCAGTTCTTTCTTTCCAGATGGATAACCAGTTATCCTATCACCATTTATTGAAGAACTTGTTCTTTACCCACTGACTGATGCTGCGCTGCTGGCTGCCAACAACCAAGTATTCCAGGAAGGGTGGGTGTGTTTCTAGGTTCTCTCCTGTCTCGTTCTCAGTTTGCTTATTCCCTGTGCCAGTGCAGCCTCCTCCAGGGCAGCACCAGCATCTGCGAAAATGCCTCTTCTGATTTTCAAATCTTTTTGGTTTTGGCCTCTGGGGATTTCCGTTACTTCTTGTGAGCTCAGCTATGCATTTAAAAGGATGTTTGTTAGGTGTTATCCAGCATTTCTATGCCTGTAGTGAGAAATTTTTTTAGACTATGTAGTTGACCATAACCCAGTGATGGGAAGAGAACTTCTTTAGCTGATTCCTAAAACCAAATGTTTGTGATTATCTCACCTGGAGGATACAAGAGAGAAAAAGCACAACGTGCTTGCATTTGGGGGAATCTTCTCTCAATAAAAGATGTAGAAATGACATTTTAAATAGAAATAATGTTTGAGTATATTTTGGCTAAAATGTCACATTAAACAAAAAATCACAGGGAGTGGGGCCAGCCCAGTGACATAGTGGTTCAGTTCACGCGCTCTGCTTTGGTGGCCTGGGGTTTGCAAGTTCGGATCCTGGGCATGGACCTACACACCACTCGTCAAGCCACACTGTGGCAGCATCCCACATACAAAATAGAGGAAGATTGCCACAGATGTTAACTCAGGGACAATCTCCCTCACCAAAAAACAAAATTTAGAAAAAAAGTCACTTTATGTAGATCAGCAAAACCTGGCCAAAATAATACCTTCCAAAGTAAAAGAAAGCAGTTGAGCCAAAAATAATCAAGACCCTCATGCTGGGTACAGGAGGAATAAAGCCAGTGAGATATAAAGGCTCTTGCCCCTCAGGAAACAGCTTTGTGAGGGAGATTTGGGAGATTTTGAGGGACAGGTGTGGTGGCAAAGCAGCATAACCATCAGCCCTTGGGCATAAACCACATAACCTGTCTCATGAGAGTTATTGAGAATTGAGTTAATGTTTGTAAAGAACTCAGTGTCTGGCATGTAGTAAGCATTATATGAGTACTTGTTTAATAAAAGTAAGGGGTAGAATTAGAACCATATCATTTGGATGATGTGTCCCTGTTCCCCCAGATAGGAAACATGGGATCCACACAGCTGAGGTATGATTCAGAAGAGGGTCATTAACAATATATCAATTTATAGCCAAATCCATCCAGAGGCGCACAATGGCCCGTCCTCAGATCAGAGATGGAAATTGGGAGACAGGGAGGTATAACCCCCTTGTTTTGTTTATTAACACACAAAACATGTCTCATTTCCATTTTAAAAGATCTGGTGTTGTGTGCTGCATTTACTAGGGAATATTTAAATATTACTCCAGAAACATGTTCCATATTAAATTCACAGATTGTAAGGGAGATATACTTTTCATTATTCAGATAACTTGCAAGAATGGACTCAATTATTTGGTACTATGATCTCTTCAAGACAAGGACCATATCATGTTCATTTCTGGTACGTGGCAGAAAGAATGTTCAGTGAGGGATGAGTAGTAGCTGAATGCCACTTCAGATCACTGCACCTTCAGTTGGTTTCCCAGGACCATACTATGTTGCATAACACCACATTCCTCTCTTCCTGGAAGTCCTCCTATTTTTATTTAACCAGGGTCTGAATCCACTTTGAGGGGCCCTGCATGCAATGTATATTCATTGATAATGTGAGGACTTCCCATCACTATAATGTTCAACAAGGGAAAAAGGGATTTAGGAAGTTGATTTCTACACTAAGTGAGGGATTAAACTAGATGATTCGTGCCCCCATCCTCCCAATATCTGATATGTGCAACAGTCTGCAAGTTAACACAGCTCAACAAGCATGTATTCTGTCTTAACAATAGGGAAGGTGTGGAAACAAAGATGAAAGAGACGTGAGTCCCAGCCCTGCCTCCTGAAGAGCTGCTAGTTTAGTAGGGAAGACAGACACAGAGCACTAATCCCAATTATTATATATATATATATATATATACATATTTCTAGGAAGATTAGCCCTGAGCTAACATCCATGCACATCTTCCTCCACTTTATATGTGAGACGCCTACCACAGCATGGCTTGCCAAGTGGTGCCATGTCCGCACCCAGGATCCGAACCGGCGAACTCCGGGCCACCAAGAAGCAGAATGAGCGAACTTAACCCCTGCACCACTGGGCCGGCCCCACTAATCCCAATTATATATAACTATTTGGGTTTAATATCTGCCTTCTCACTACTGTGTAGTGAGGACAAAAAACAAAGACAACTCTTTACCACTATATCCCTGGCATCTAACAGTGCCTGTTGCTTAAAGCACTCAATATTTGTCAAAAAAAGTAGATCAAACAGACAATTTCAATATAGTCAATATAGTATGATGAGTGCCAAGAAACAGGGATGTGCAAGATGCTGAGCCATGTATCCAGAGTATCAAGGATTCGCAATGGGTTCATTGCAGTGCAGCAGGAAAATGCAAACATCCCGCCCCTCCTGTGTGCGTGTGTGCGTGTTGAGGGAGATGCCTTTAGTAGGAGCTGATTATTGATTATCAAAGGTGTGGATTTTTTTTCCAATGTGCTAAAATTTTGTTTAGTAAGGCTTCGCTTGGGAAGCACCTTTGCTTCCGGAAAGCTAAGCAGGGCCAGGAGGTGACAGGAAACACGTATTTGGCTTTGATTCTAAGTTTTAAAGAAGGGTATAGGGAGCCATGAAATTCCATGGTTCCAGTGAAACTAGAAAGGCAGTCGGGGTCTAAGTCAGAGTGGAATACTGTACATTCTGCCCTAGAAAATGCCCTGGAGTCCTTCTGTTTGAGGAATGGAAGTGCAGCAGCAGGAGGCCACAGGAATTTGGCCCAAGATGAATACCAGTGAGGCGGCCTTGTACTCTGCTCTTTCTTTTGCCCTTTCTTCAGAGCACTACAACTACCAATGGCTTAGATCTTATGATAGCCTACCCAAACTGATTCTTTCCTTTACCAGGTCCCCTGAGCCTTTTATTCTTCTGCAAAAACTCAACCTCTTTCCTTGTTTTCAAAAAGAATATTAAAAAAAGACAAAGCTCTAAAATAATAAGGTATATAAGCTTTTGTGTTTATACCTATTAGTATCTTTTGTTTTAAAAAATATAACCTCATTACAGGCATTAAACACATTCTTTTTGTGGGCCATTTGGATTAATTTTTCTTTTTTTTCTTTTAGAAGATTGGTCCTGAACTAACATCTGGTGCCAATCTTCCTCTTTTTTGCTTGAGGAAGACTGTCCCTGAGTTAACATCTGTGCCAATCTTCCTCTATTTTATGCTGGATGCCGTCACAGTGTGGCTTGACGAGCAGTGCTAGGTCTGTGCCGAGGATCTGAACCTGTGAACCCTGGGCTGCTGAAGTGGAGCATGTGAACTTAACCACTATGCCACGGGGCCAACCCCTGGATTAATTTTTTATATTTATTACTCCCAATAAGCCTAGCACAATGCAAGCATATAGTAAGCACTCAGATATCTGATGGCACATATAACAAATCTAACACACTGGACATGCTTAAGATAAAATTAAAATTGAAACTAAGAATTAAATGTATTGGGGCTGGCCCAGTGGTGCAGCAGTTAAGTTCATACATTTCCTGCTTCAGTGGCCTGGGGTTCGCCAGTTTGGATCCTGGGTGGGGACATGGCACCTCTTGGCAAGCCATGTTGTGGTAGGTGTCCCACATATGAAGTAGAGGAAGATGGGCACGAATGTTAACTCAGGGCCAGTCTTCCTCAGCAAAAAGAGGAGGATTGGCAGCAGATGTTAGCTCAGGGCTAATCTTCCTGAAAAAAAAAAAAAGAATTAAATGTATTCACTTCTCTCCTTATTTTCATATAGTCCCCTGTTGAGATGTCCTTATAAGTTCTTACCACACTTTATTTTAATTGCCTATTTGGATTAGGCCTTTAATATGTGTCCCATGAACAAAATGATATACTGCAACTTATGAAATGACAAAGGCAAAATAAATATGACAAAATATTTAAAAATGAAGCAAGCTGACAAAATTTTGGCAATTCACCAATGCAAGGATGTTTTTATCATGCATCTAGAAATGCAACTCAATATTATATTCAGTTTATTTTGGAACAGCTTTTTACCTGATATCAATACTCAAATGTCACCAAATTATTAATTTTTTTAATTAATGTTTTTTCTTAATTACATTTGCATATATGAAGAAAAGTAATACACTGGACAAGTTATAAAGTACTGTCTCAGGCTTATGTGGAATTATGATTGCTTCCAACAATTACTGAAAGCTCTTTTCAAAGATAACCTTCCTACTAATGTATGTTTGTCCATGTAATAGACTGAAGACAGGCAGAAATCTGGCATTCTTGAAACAGCATGTAACTACTCAATGTAATGCTACAAATCAACTTATTTCCTTTAAAACTTCACTAAATAATTCCGAGGAGTACAACCAAACATTCAAAGCTCCCCGTGCTCATCCTAAGAATTAGGCAATCTTCTTTGATTTTTTCTTCTCTGCTTCTTCCTTTTCCTTTTCTATTTCAGTTACTTGTAATTCAATTTCTTTGGCACTAAACATCTGAGAAGAGAAAAAATTTAAAAAGCAAATTTCAATAATACCAGTAATTTCTAAATATTTATAGTATGAAGGAACTCAATTATATTTTATAAATTTACATTTTCTATTTATAACTTTATAGTGTATATAACTTCAAATATGTAATGAAATATTTCAAAAGGTTTAAAAGCAACACAACTTGTAACAATTATGGACAAAACCAGGACTCTATGACATTTCCACTATCACTGTGCTCTAAAAGAGCGCAGGGTACAATGTGATGTTGCATTACGTATCCTGTATATGCATATAACTTGGAAAAGATTTGAATGCAAGGCTTATTCTATTCGTGAGCAAACAACTCCTTACTGAACTCCCCCTAGCCCTACCCCACTGTGTGATTCTCTGATAGGATTTGACTATCTTATCAGCTCACAGACTAGCCAAAGAGGTAGGGAAAAGATGATTTAGACTGCTTTGTTTACAACTCCCTCACTAAGTACAAAGCAAAAACAGTTTTTATTTTATTAATATCAAAGATGAGAGCAACTTGCTCAAGGTCATACTGTTAAACAAATGCATCGCTGGAACTTAAACCCAGGTCTATCCAATTCCAGAGCACATGCTCTATTTCCCCTACAGCCTCTCCTGAAATATAATGTGGAAGGAGAGCATAGCTTTGCTGCTGTACACATACCACCCTACCACTCATAAATAAAAATATATGTATAACTCTGTGTGTGTGTCTCTCCAGATGTGTATATATGTATGTGATGGGGCTGGAGAGATGACTCTGGTCTCAGTGGTTCTCTGTCCCTGTGGTGTTGACACATCTGTCCCCCCATCCTTTACAGCAGGGGTGACAATGCGGCTCAGTTCCCATCTCCACACTCTGTGCTCAGCACTCTGGTTATTTCTGTGGGGCTGTGCTGGGGCAGACCCCATTACTCTGTCCCCATTTCTCTTATTCACTGAAACTTTGCTGCTGCCCTATCCTTGCGTCCTCCGTCTATTGATTAACTAATAAAAGGTGGGAATGTGATGTCAAAACAATGACAACAACAAAGCCCCTAAAACCCAAAAACCCCACTGCTCCACATAGCACTGATTTTAACATTATTTCCCCTTGAAATATTTTCCTTAAAACAAAAGAAAAGGTATATGTGAAATAATCCTTTTTAGCACCTTTTTCGTATAGATTCCCATGCTTTACGTGATTTTGTACACTCTCAGCTAGAGAGAGCTAGTCAGCAAACCAGACTGTAAAGTTCTACCTAATGAACAATCGTGAACCACATTTCAAATGCTCTTTAGCCCATGAGTCCTCTATCACAATATCCTAACAATTTATCACATTGTTCTAAACAATTTATTTTGTGGTCCAGCAGTTTTAACCCATAAGAGCTGACAAAAGGCATAGAAAGAATAATGCTAGACTTGCCACAAAGACATATGGAAAGGTTATTACACTAGGCATTAAAATTTAAATCGCAAGCCACTTTTAAGTGAAAAGAAGAGAGAAGAGATAAAAGCCAGTAGGCAACCAAGAATGGGTGGTGCCTTAACATAATGAAGGATAACACTATGTTAGAAGCCTGGAGGGCCAACAATTATATAAATAGCAGCTGAATGACACTGGCTGGAAGCACATCTTGATTTCAGGAGATCTAAAAAGACAGGAAGAGTAACTGCTCTCTATATGGTGCCAGGAATGACTCTCCATAGGGAATAGCTATACTGACACCATATAGGGCTGACTCAGTAGGAATTCCTACTTAGAAGAATATATACCACTAAATGGGATAGGCCTATATATAGATCTCAGTGCCTCTAAGTCTTCACAAAGGGTTAGGCATAGGTAACTGTTTGCAATAAGCACATACAAATTAGTGACAGCCTACAGAAACAAAATGGAAATTGCAGTGTCAATGGATGCTAAAGGGATGTTTCAGGCTGATAATGAAGACACCAGTGGGTGTCAACAACATTTTAATTTTTTGTCAAAATACTTTATACTACAGGTATTTTTTTCTTCCTAATGACTTACCTTCAAAGGTTGGTTTCTTCTTATTATAGCAAGTTGAATGTTTTTTCCACCAGACTGGACAACCTAATGTAGAATAAGTGCAATGTGAGAATTACTTCAGGAAATTCTGTGTTTTAATAAGCCACTGAATGAAAAAAAAAAAACCCTATGCTTTTCTGAATAAGCTTTATTAGATCACTTACTTCTAGCAAAGCTCTTATTGCTAATTTTACAGCTTCGTTGTCGTTTGCTATAGCATCTTCTGTGTAATTCTTTTCTAGGAATTCTCGAACAGTTTTAGCACTTCGGCCTATTGCATTTGCCTTGAAAAATAGAAGATAAGTATTATTATTACTGCAGTATGAATGGATTTATGGTTAATAAGTGAATTTTAGAGACTTAGAGTTTTCATAATTACTAAATGAAAATTGAAGGTTTGAAAACTTAGCAAGCATTTCAGCAGCTCATTTGGTTACTGTATGAATAATTTTATTTTCAATATGAAATCAATATGAATAAACTTATTTTCAAATATACCAACACTTTGTCCTGGGTCTTGGCCAATGCTTTCTTTTACTTTAATGGTTCCAAAATCCTTGATAGCCAGAAGAGATTGAAAGAGTTGAAATTCCAAAAGATGTGGAGGGGAAAGGAGGTGTAACTTTGCAATATGGTGCAAAAGGAAGAAAGAGAAGACTGAAAAAAAAAAGGACATCCACGTGAAGAAGAAAGCTGACATGAGTAGGACTGTGTATCATTTTCTCAGAACTTAGAATAAAGTACAGAATTTAGAATAAAGTATAGCTATTATTGATTCATTATCTTCTTTGACTATAAGCAAGAAGTGCTTCTTCTGTTCCATTGCGTGTTTTATATTGTTCTGTAGACATTTCTGAAGGAAAGAGGCAAATGGATTTCCCTGGAGGCATGGCTATAGGTAGTAAATGCTGTGTTCTTTTAATTCAGTCTAAATATCCAGACTAATACTAGTGATGATAATAGTAATTTACATTAACAGAACACTTACGTGCCAGGCACTATATTAAGCATTTTACACGGATTATCTCATTTAACCATTACAAAACCAAACAGGTACTATTACTAACTCCAATTCATGGGTAAAGAAATGAAGGATTGGAAAGGTTAAAACGAGGTTTCTCAACCTCAGCACTATTGACATTTTGGGCTGGATATTTCTTTGCTGTGGGGGGCTGTCCTGTGCATCGTAGGAGGTTTAGCAACCTCTATCCACTAGATGCCAGGAGCGGCCCCTATCCCAGCTGTAACAGCCAAACATGTCTCTACATCGTGCCACATGGACTGAATCGCCAGTCCAAGCTTTGACCTCTATGCACTATGCCGCCACATGCCTCTTCGCTATGATGACTCTAGACAGGGGAAAGAACCAGCAGAAGGACCCGTTCTTTCACGGAAGGATCCTGGCATTAAAGGGGAAATGTTCCAGTTCTAACTGGTTAGTAGTATGATTACAGGAAAGAGATCTCAAAGGAGATCTTTAGGAAGGGAGCATGAAAACACATCTTTTGTACTACACGGGAGTTACTGTTCTGCTACTTCACAGAGCTTTTTCTATGTCTCTGTGTTTCAGAGGATTAAAATAAATAGCTGTGAAATTTTAAATTCGATTTTGTGGCCTTGAAATTCCACTATGATCAAAAGTAAAGCGTGGTACAACTTTGGAGTTTATTAGCTACTAGTTTTTTGGGGGTAACTAACTGGTTGCTGCCAAGAGGGGAAGTACCTACGGTAGCAGTTTATCCAGAAATCTCAGCCCTTACAGATCACTCCTGACTTTCCTGTCCACTTTCTCCAATTGCCGACGTCAAAATTCTTTAATTCTCACCTACTTGACTGGTTTCCTAAAATCTAGCTGCTTCTTGCCACACTCATATTCCCACCCTGCCTCCAACCCCATCACCCACCCCAGCCACTTCAACAGCCTCTGATGGTTTTGCAATGTTTTTCCTGCTTGTCTATCCAGATTTACGATGATTTTCTGTGGCAGAGAATACTAGCTGTCAACCCCAATGTCCATTCTTCCTTTGTGACAGAACTTGGGGCAATGTGCCTGCTGAAAAAATGTCATTTCCTAGCCTCCATTACAAATAGAAATATACAAGTGAAAGTAACTGGGTGGAACTTCTAGGACTCTTTTGCTGCCTGGAATGCAGACATGTTGGCTGGATGTCTGGTAGCTAACTTGAGAGCATGGAAAAAGACTAAGATAATAAAAGAGACAAACACTGGCAAGTGCCTACCTTCAAACTTCTCATTATGTGAGAAAAGCAAATCCTTATGTGTTACGAATCATATCTCTGTTGTTACGAGCCCAAAACAATACCTCACAGATACACCTCTGAGTGGATCCTGTCACTCAGTGCCCCTTGCCCCTTATTCCCAGAGCTCCTGGGGGTGCCGATGGCAGATAGCCCAGGCTCTTCACTTTCTTGAGAGATGCCTTGGTTAACTGAGCTGCCTCACCCAAGGTCATGCACTCTTCTAGCGGTGGCCCATAGCCAATGACTGATGAAGAGTTGTTAATGTCCAGCCCCCTCACCCCAACTTGGAACAACTTTGAAGAGCCACCCGAGATGCAGAGCTTCCCATGGGGCTGACCAGGCCTTTACTGAGACTGCACTGCAGTCCCCCTTCTCCCTCTGCCTCGCGCTGTTCCCTTCCTTTCAAGAAATGCTGATCCCAAAAGCACTTCATAATACACTTCCTAAAAATGATGGTTAAACAGCCTTTAAAAGTCTTTTCGGTCCTAAGATGCTGTGTCTCTATGGGAGTATTTTCCAAAGAATACCAGAGTGGAGAGAGGATCTATGATAAAAGGTTTCTAAATTCAAGTAACCTTGGCGATGACTACTTTAACTGCTTCTGGAAGACGTACAATGCTTTTTAGAAGATCCATAACCTAATAAAACATTAAATTTCTTTAGACAAACACCACCCAAAATGACTTAGCTTGTTTACCTTATATCTATATATCTAGTAACATCAAAGAAATACACTTTGAGAAACATTGTTCTGAAGTACACAACATATTAACTTTGTTCCCGTTTTGAAGCATTACTGACAACAGCAAAACATGCCCCCGAAAGCATTAACACTGTTAGTTTTGTAACATCGCGCTTTGGTCATTTGGAAACACTGCTTCAGAGAATTAACGCAGATCTTCCAAATGTTGACCAGTTTGATTTCTAAAATATCAAATAATCATGCTCATTAATTTCACCACCAATCTCATCAAAGATGTCTTTAAGTACTGAGAAACTGTTCAGCTCTTTGTGACAAATGTTTTTCAAAATTTTAATTTTCGCTTGAAAGCTTGAATTTTATCACTGGCAACAAATACTATCGGTTGTTTCCTTAAAGTAAAGGCCTCGGATCACTCATTCTTTAGAAGATTTCCTGCTAAATTTCCAAGTCTGAATAACCACAGTTATTCTGTCTGTTGTGCTATCAAGTAAAAATGAAGTTCCATAAAAAATGGGCTATTTTAGCTTACAACTCAAACAATCGCATAATTGTTTTTCCTCAAAACAACATTACCTGCAGTAGATGTGCTTTAAGCATACTTCTGTTTCATCACACAGAATATGAAAAGATGCATACTTGAGAGTTAATGTTTTTCCCCCCTGAGGAAGATTCACCCTGAGCTAATATCTGTGCCAGTCTCCCTCTATTTTGTACATGGGTCGCAGCCACTGCAGGGCCGCCAATGAGGGGTGTAGGGGTGTAGATCTGCACCTGGGAACTGAACCTGGGCTGCCAAAGTGGAGTGCACCGAACTTAACCACTAGATCATGGGGCAGGCCCAAAGAGTTGAGATTTTTTATAATAATGTTTTTATTGAGATGTAATTGACATAGTATATTAGTTTCAGGTGTACAAAATAATGATTCCATATTTTATATATTGCAAAATGATCATAATAAGTCTAGTTAACATCCTTCACCACACACAGTTACAATATTTTCCTGTGATGAGAAAAAAGTCGATTTAATAAAATTAATGATTTTTACTGTTTCATCAAAGACAACTTATGAGGAAGTTGAATTTATTTATTAATTTACTACAAATGCATGATGGTAAAGAATACAATGAGTACTAGTACACCTGGGTGCTAGGGCACCAGCAGTTTCATCCACCATTGCTTTTACATCATCACTACAAATGTCCACACAGAGACAAAGCGAAGGATTGTCTTAGTATTATTATGAAAATAGTTTTTACTTCATGGACCAGGAGTCTGAAGACTACATTTTGAGATCTGTCACTTTATACTATGTATCCTATTTGGCTACATCCTGTAAGCTTATAAGGCCAAGAAACCCCTACACAGTATGGGTTTTACACAGACATACCTGAAATTTTCTAACACTGCAGTTTTTTAAATTAAAAGGATGGGTTCTAAATCTGGCAGGTCAGCAAAGTCATCTGGGAAGAGCCCTTGTCCCAACATAGCCACTTGGCTGGCTTCTTTTCATTCAGTCTCAGCTTAAACATCCCTTCTTCAGAGAAATGTTCCCTCTACATACAATCTAAAGCAACTCTCTGTTGTGATCTAGGACATTATCCAGCAGCTTGGTTTCATCATTGCACTTATCTCTACTTAATGTCAAACTAAACAAAGAAAAGTGCAAGTTGTAGAATGATATGCATAATATGATACCAATTGTATGAAATTTTAAAATATGCAAAATAGTCCCTATTACTTATGGATACTTCCATGTGCAGTAAAAGTGTAAAGTTATGCATTGAAAAGATAAATGTCAAATTTAGGATAGTGGTTTCCTGGAGCAGGTAGGAGGAGATGTTGTAGGAGGGGAATGAGATTAGAAGGATGCACAAGAAGCTTCAATTACATTCAAGCTGGCTGGTGGTTACACGGGTGTTTTAAATATTATTTTCAGAAGTCTGAAATATTTCTCTTAAAAAATGATCTGGAGCAAATATGATAAAACATTAACATCTATTTAAATTTGCTGAATACATGCGTATATTTATATTATTTTGTATTCTTATGTATGTGCTTGGAAGGTTCCATTAAAAACAATTATTTCTGTTAAACATAAAACTGTCCGTGCTTCTACTTAAACATTTTCACACTGGGTTCCATGCACTTGCATCTATTTAAGGTCTTTTATGAATATTTTCACTTGCCTCTACATTCGTTGTTTTGCTTCTCCACTGTATCTTTTTCATAAATTTATAAAAATTCCAAAACATTTCATTCTTGCTCCTCTTTCATACCCTACATCCATCAGCACAGCCTCACACCATTTCTCATCCTGCA